ACCTTGTGTCACAACCTGACCTCGTGGGGGGTTGAGTAAATATCTACTCTCGAGTACTTTGTAACAATTTATTGACCATCTCTCAGTTGCGTCTCTGTCTTTGGACAGAGTGCGCTCAGGGGCGACTCCGTCAAAGAACAGTGTCACAACTGAGGAAAATTATACTGAGAGGCGCCGGCCCTGGGGAACAGCTGCCCGAGGCCGCGCCTTCTCATTGAACTAGAGAGAATGATCGGTGCACGCACCGACGCTAGCGCAACCGACGCCTGCGGGGGCTCGGGAAATTTTTGTTCCTTGCCCGGGTGCACGCGCTCGGGCTGCCCACATTAAACGGACATTGTGTCACAACCTGACCTCGTGGGGGGGGGAGTAAATACAAATACTGAAATGTTCTAAAATAGCCTCATCAGGTCGAGACTTTTATATTGGATGCCATGCCCGGTGCCAAATTCGTTCAGAAATGTCTAAACTGTCAGCCGTATAGAACTGCTGTCAAATACAGGTCAACGCCTTTGAATGAGTGAAGCGTGAATGTCTTATAGAGTATCATCTTTAAACCATGTGAACTACTGATACATAATCACAAGAAAATAAAACTGGGCCAAATAACAGAAACTATATTGTCTGAAGACTTTCAACAGCAGCAACAACTAAAATGGATAGCACATGTAACATGAAGAGAGAATAATAACATAATAAAGATCACTAGTCGAATGAACTATAATAGCTACCGGACTTCAGAAATGTATTCTCTTGAAAAATTGTTTTAATAGAAAGGTTTTGCAAATTTCAACCAGAAGTGACATTGCCTATTGAACTCGCCTCTCTGAATCCAAGCCACGATCCATTACTCTACAGGACCTTATTAAAAGAAGCACAGCAGTATTATTCAATCAGTTATGTGCCATGCGTGATACACGCTTGGGCGATCATCTATCTTTCGATACATGACTGACGAGGCAGATTTTTTTTCCCGCAGTAGGTTGCCATTTCTTTCTGCACTAGTCCAATTGCTATCGAAGGCGATAAAATCCGGTCTGTACTGCTATTTACCCATAGCTGGGGTGGGAAGAAGATGATTCATACCTTTCCCAAGGGTATTATCACGTAAGTGAATGTAATGGATTCGACTGGAATCGAACTCAGCTCTCCAATTCCTCAATTCGAGCCACGATCCATTAATCTACCGTGCCTTAGTAAAGGAGTCACAGTAGTATTATTCAGTCATTTATGTGCTATGTGTGATACACGCTTAGGCGATCATGTATCTTTTGGTCTGTCCTGTTATTTACCTATAGCTGGGGGACTTATACCTTTCCCAAGGGTATTAGCACGGAAGTGAATGTAATAGATTTGACTGGAATTCGAACTCGGCTCTCCGATTCCGAGACGCTATCCAGTACACCACCGTGCCTCCTAATTGTATAGATAGATAGATAGATAGATAGATAGATAGATAGATAGATAGATAGATAGAGTGTGTGTGTGTGTGTGAGAGAGAGAGAGAGAGAGTGTGTGTGTGTGTGTGTTGGCGTAACTCGTTATATGTCTGGGAGTAATTGGTAAGAAATAAGTCAGTGCTTTCGTTCGGAAATAAATTCCGTGATTAGATAAATAAATGGAACTATAAAAGTGGCAGTATTTCAGTCTCGTCTGCGTCTGAACCTGGGGAGTGGTAGGTGTCGTAACGGTTAATGGTGCAGAAAATGTAATTGGCTGGCCGGGTACAAATTCCGGGCAGGCCAAATCATCGGACGAACAGAGCTCGTGGTTTAAGCAAACGGAAACCACTTCACTATATTTATTAGGAAGAGCGACAAAATACATATATTAAAAAGAATATATATATATATATATATATATATATATATATATATATATATATATATATATATATATATTAATTATGTATTTAGTTAGTTAAACCTTAGTTGAACCTGCAAGGTTTCACCTAAGCGGATCGTCAGTGAATCATAATCACGCCAGCCTTCCCTGTTGATCCGCTTATGTGAAACCTTGGTAGGTTTGTCTGGCTCTCTAGGTTTAACTAGGTCTGCTCTACTTACCGTATTGAGCACTTTATTTAGTTATTTTGCCTACTCGTATCGTTTATTTTTTCTTTGGGCTTTGGACTTGGATGCTAGACGATTATTTTCGGATAACGTACATGTTCTTGGCTCTTTCTTTTTTTATACCTGTTTTTTCACTTTGGTATTGGATTGATTATTTGCAAATCAAGACACCGAAGGTTTTCCGGACGAGTATAATTTCTTATACTTATATGATTATTACTACTACTACTACTAATATATATATATATATATATATATATATATATATATATATATATATATATATATATATATATATATATATATACTAAATATATCTCGACATTGAAGTAAGCTAAGAGAGGCGACAGTCTGTTTCATACTACTTCATGGCCTGACGATTGAGTTTGAGTCTGAAACACACTCTCGTCTCTAGGTTTTGGGTTCAATGTTCACTTTTATATTTACATGCACTCTATATCTGATACTGAGCATTTTAACCCATATAGCATGCCTCAAAATCATATCTTATCATATATATATATATATATATATTTAGGCAGCAATTTTTCATTAATGCATGTTTCATTAAATAATATAGACAAGTTTGGTCTATTTATTTTAAATAAGTTCCTTTCATATTGTCTGATAAGCTTAATAACATTATCATTGAAAGATGAAAGGAAAACGCCATATTGATACATGTTTAAATCCAATCTAAGCTTTCGGCTTACACGAGCCATTATCAAAGATGACAATTTCAATAAATTAAACTACAAAGGATGAAACAACAATAATAGTCCGCCCTTGCTGCATGAAAATGTCCAAGTAACGATAAATTCGTATATACGAGACGCGGAAGCGAAAATCGCGTCGCAGCTCGTGACGCCACACATGACCACGCGAGAGTGTAAAACGAGAAACGAGAAGTATTATGGGAAGCCGTTGGTAAAAACCAGTGGCTTCTGTTATAGGCATTTAAGGATATTTGTAGAGAGTTCATAGTTTATTTTGTTCAGGTTAGGTTTCACCTGTTTTATGTAATGTATAAAGCTCCTAGAATTTTTTAATTTTTGTTTATTGTTTTCATGTTTAAGTATAGTTGTGTTGTCAAGAAGAATTTTCCAGAATTGAGTACGCGGGCAGGCATGTTGTTTTAAATGTCTAAAAATGTTACAGTTATCATTTAAATGTAGAAAGGAACTCACTTAAAATAAATAGACAAAATTTGTCTATATTATTTAATGAAACA